TATTTTAATTCAAATACTAGACATAAGAATTTTTTAATGTTTAAGGTTGGATATTTAAGTTTCATATATATTCAAGCTTTATCCTCATTTGGTTTTAAACTCCGTGGTTAACATTTGTTAAGTAATGTTCACGGAAAAATTTTATGACATTATAAAAATCAAATTTTTTACTTTCTGCATAATAATTAAATTAAGAACTATTTTTTAATTCTAGGACTCAGACGTTTCAATTTCAAGTTGATCGGATTTTAAACGTAATGTCGATGCATCAACTAACTTTAGCTCTAATTTTTCACTTAATTATTGGATTTGCACATCTGTAATGTATTATTAACTTAAAATCGTTCTACTTGATCAGTATTATTGATTGCTTATTACGATCACACTGCTAAAATTCCAATCAGTCAATTTCAGAAAAACTTCGTTTTATTATTTAATTCTTATTTTCACTATTTTTTTCTAATTCTTGCAATTGACGAAAATTATCATTATTTTTCAGCAAGCAAAATATTGTGTTACATATATTTACAAAAAAAATTTACCAGATTTTGTCGTAATTTTTTTGCAATTTTTTTTTGAAATTTTTATTATTTTTACAATAAAATATAGGTTTAGCTCATTTTATATAGCAATTAAATTGACTAATGCGATATGAAATTGTAAACCTATTTGCGATAATGACCGCATAATAAATACAATCTGTAAGTAAAAAGTTGAAATCAGCTGAAAAAATCAACGAAGTGATCAGCAAAGTGATTTTACTTCAAGATACATTTTGATTGATATATTTTAAAATTAGCATAAAGTTCTAAGCTTCTGAAATCTATGCAGCGCATGCTAGCATTATTAATCCCAAATCATATTTGTGAATTTTCATACTTGCGTGGATTTTGCAAGCATTTATTTTAAAGTATTTTACTGCTTTATTTTCATATTTCATTTCAGAAATTTTGTTTACTAATATTTTATTAAACTTTGAAAGATTTTAATCAAACATTTCAGAGTTCGATAAGATTATCACTCAGACAGAAGATTAAATTAGTGCAAAAAAACAAAAAATAAACAAGAATTATTACTTCTATTATCATAAAACTAATTTTGTTATCAGTTTTAATTTCGGTTTCTTTGCTATTATTTATCAATGACTTATTATTTAGTATTCAATTTCAATTGACGACTTTGACAGCTTAGTTGTTATCATATTGTTACTTAATGAAGAACTTTATTACTTTTATTTGATAATATTTTATCTAAAATTAGTTGCATTCTTGTCTCCTTAACTCTGATAAAGGTTTGAATAATGTGTTGTACTGTAATAAAGTAATCATAAAAGTAGAATTACTGCTTAAATGAAATATATATAAATAATTTTTTTGATATCTAGTGAAATTTTTGCAAATATATTCATAAGGTTTTTGAAAACAATTTTTGGTTTTTTTCAGAAATGGATACCAGAGCAAAGAAATATAGAATCTGAAGATGAGTGCATTCAAGGTGAATCAAAGTTGAATCCAAGTTTGCAGAGCATTTGAAATTTTAGAAAAATTTTACAACAATGGATTTGAAGACTGCAAAGAATTCTAAGAACTTATTCACGTCTGATAAAAATATTAATACGTCAAAGAAGGAAAAAACTGATTCTACTCGAAATCATTCTAATGTAAAAAATGAAATGAATTCATCACGAAAAAATATTTCTACGAGAAATGCAAACAATCTTACAACAACTTCTACACGATTTTTAGCTTCTTCAAACAATGCAAATCCAATTAAAAAACCAGAAATGAAAGCAACGTCAAAATTAAAATCCAAAATAATCGAAAAAAGAATTCCAGAAGAAACAATGGAAAAGAAGAATCCTTCAATTACAATGTGTAAAAAATCATCAGAACTAACGAATAAAAAAGAACAAAAAAATATTACAAATTTAAAATTGGATGAAAAAAAATCAGTAGTAAAAGTAGCTCTTTCTTCAGTTACAGTAACGAGAAGAAATCAAGCTTCAAAGGATAGAATCTCACAAAAAGCTGAGGACAGAATCTCATCACAAAAGCGTAACAATTGTAATGAAAAAAAACAAGTGGTGCTGGGTACTGCAAATCCGAAATCATTTTTTGCTACAACGAGGTTGATCCAAAATAAACCTCAAGAAATGCACAATTCGATTGAATTCCAACCTAATACTGAGGTTAAGGATGATTTTGATAAGTTAGAATCAGAAGAAAATAAGCTGGAATCAGAAGTATTGAAAGATTGTGTGGGAGAGAAGCAAGAAATGAAACCTGAAATGATAGAAATGCAAAGGATTGGAATGAAACCAATGGTTTGGATTGAAACTTTGATACCTGTTTATGAGCACACTTGGAATTTTTATCAACCAGTCGAGAAAAATAGAAGTAAATTAAAAATTGAGGAAGTAGATGAAACAAAGTTAGTGACTAGCGAATGTAATATGGAAAGTATTATTTCTTCAAGCAATAATGAAAACAATTCTGTAGAAACCGTGCACGCAATAATTGAAACAGCAGCAGAAGCTGCGGTTGTAGAATCCACCTCTCAAATATTGAAAGATGGTGAACTTCTGTGTGTAGAATCTACTTCTTCTCTAAAAGCGGTAAATGAAGATGAAATATTGAAACTTACTGCAAACCAATATGAAAGTATACTACCTTCATCAAAAACCAATAAATACCAAACTGAAGTAACAGAAACTCTGAATTTGGAGATGGCAAAAGTGGAGAATTCTAATTTAAGTTGCTCAGAAACTGTATTTGGAGCTGAAAATATAAAAATTGTTCATTTATCAATTAGGCAGCAAGTTTTTGAGTTTGTTTCTTTATCGAATAAAAATAAAGAGCTTAATTCAGAATTCGTTTCTTTGTCATCTGGAAAAGCAGTACTCTCTGAATCTGATCATATAATAACTCAAGAAGAAATTGAACCTGTTACATCAGTGATTCAAGTGGAAGCCAATACTTCACAGTTTATTCCGGCTCAAGAAGAGCTTTCAGCTTCACAACCCATTTCTTTCAAAGCGAATAACACTTCAGAATCTTTTACATCACCCATTCAAGATGAAACCAATGTTACAGAACTTGTTTCAAAATCAGTCAAAGATGAGTGCATGTCTTCAGTAATGAAAGATATCAAAATTTCAAAATTTATACCTTTCGGAGCTGAAAATCTTGTAGTTTTGGAATCTGTTCCATCTTTAATTTTGGAAAAAGTTGAAACTGCAAGATCTGCTGCAACAGCAGAAATTGAGGTTTCCGATTTTGCTTTAGAAACAGATGAAAGAAAATTTGTGCTCTTGGAATCCAAGACTTCAGAATCTCAAATTCTAACGCCTCCAACATCTGCAGACAACAATATTTCAAAACTCGTACCATCGACAATGAAGGAAATGATCAAAGTAGGAGAATCAGTTTCAGAATCAGCTCAAGAAAAATTTGTGCCTCCAACAGAACAAAAGACCATATTTCCAAAATTGGTTCCTCCTGATATTGAATATGCAGCTGAAGTTCCAAAATTAATTTCAGAAACAAGCCAGGAAAAGTTTATTCTATCTAAATCAACCCTTCCATTAGCTAAGAAAACCAAGTTTTTGAAATCTGTTTCGGTTCCAGTACTTGATGGAGTCCTACTTCGATTATCAGCCAAAAATGAAGCTAAAATTCCAAGATCTGCTCCAGCATCAGTTCAAAGCAAACACATGCTTCATGAGTTTCCTCCTTCAATAGCCAAAGACACTGAAGTTCCTGAATGCATCACAATCCAAAAGGAACTTGATCAAGAAAAATCTTTACTTTCAGTATCTGATTCTTCAGAAAGCAAAGAGACCAAGTTTTCAGAATCTTCTCCATTATTTATTCAGGAGAAATGCAAAACTTCAGAATCCTTTTCGAAACTACTTCAAAACGAATTCACGCCCTCAGTAGCCAGAAAAACTGAAATTTCAAGATCTATTTCATTATCAGATCAAGAAGCTATAGAATCTATCTTAATATCTAATCCAGACGACTATGTGCCTATAGATGATACAATACCACTATTTCCGAAGAAAGCTGAAGTCTTCGAATCTAATTCAGTACCATTTGAAGACCAATCTATGCTGTCAGAATCCGCTCTTTTCATGGAAACTCAAATTTCTGAGCTTATTCCATCAATGATTAGGAGTCAAGTCAAATCTCCAGAATCTGCTTTTCCATTGGCAGTAAAAGAAGCCATTGAAGTTCCAGATCTTGTCATGACACAAAAAACAGATGATTCCTTGTTTGCAAAATCCGTACTTCCAATAACTAGAGAGACGGAGATTCCAAAATTGATCCAATCACAAGCTGAGCATGAAGAAGAATGGTTGGAATCTGTTTTAGAACCTGCTGAAGACGAATCCAAGCTTTCAAAATTAGTATCTGCAGTAACACAAGACGCAGAAATTTCGAAACTGCTGCCACTAGCAATTCAAAATAAAGTCGAGGTTCTTGAATCTGTCAGAACACATGCTCAGGATGAACCCACACTTTCAGAATCCGCACCCTCCGTAACTGGAGAGGTTGAGGTTCATGAATTCAATTTACCAACAATTCAAAACAGTTCCGAAATCACAGATTTTGATCTAACATCAATTCGGGACGAATCTGGGTTTTCAAGGTCTGTTCCTTCAATAATGAGAGAGACTTGCGTTCCAGGTTTAGCTCTTCCACCACTTGAAGATAAGGATGTATCGGTTCAGGAGGAAACTCTAATTTGTGAATCTGCCTTTCCACCATCTCAAATATCACAACTATTTGATGATATGGAACTTGGCAAATGGCCATATGAAACAGGCAATTGGGATGTTTCGGATTCTAATACTACTTACTTGGAAAATTTAAAATCCGAAGGAGGTTATGAAGCTCATTTAGAGTCCCTAATTATGGAATCAGCGGTAACTGAGAAGCCTTACACTGAACAGAGCACTCAAGGAAGAGAATCAATAGAAACTGTGAATACATTTGCAGTCGAAACAGAAGCAAAGAAACGTCGTGGACGAGGACGTGGTCGTAGACGTGGTACTGGAGAATTTCGTGGGAGGTATCGACCAAGAAGTGGTCAACAGATGGGAGGTTTATATTCAGACACACAAGATTATTGTGATGGTGGTAATTCACGCAGACAATATCAGACGTCATCATCACCAAATTATTATAATTATCCTGAACATGAACATGAAGAATGTCTCAATCAACAGTTATCAAATAGTAGCAATTATTATCCTTATCGACAGTACCAGACAAGTGGATATCACAATCAACAACGACATCATAACCAAGGTGGACCTAGCGATGAATCTAATCAACGTTATTCAGGTCAACATACTAACCGTAAGAGAAACTGGAAACACAAGAAGCAAAATTATTGGTGACAATCAACTATCTGTCTTCATCTGATCAGAATATTTATCCAAAAAGCCATCAAGTCAATTATTTTAAAGAACGTAAGATTTTCAATTATATTTACGGTAAATTGATTGTTGAATCAACTTTTGCTTAAATCTTAAAACTGTTTAAGTTAAAAAACAGTTCTTATTCTGAAAGTTAGTTTCTGCAAGACAGAAATTTCGGTCAGCAACAGAAAAATCTCAAGAATTTTCTTTTTATTTTCACAATAATTCTGATCGAAAGTAAATTATAAGTACACAATTACATATTTTGCTAATTCAAACAATTTTAGCAATTAGTAATAGCTAATTTGAGTTTTTATCTTTTATGAATATTAGTAATTATTTAATAATATTTTAAGATTCATCCATATTTGTCCAGAAATTGTCGCGAAATTTTAGTAATCTGACTTGAGAGTCAAAAAAAATCAAAGCTATGGAAACAGTAGGGAAATGCATTAAAAATATGCAATTCTGTACTTTGATTCTGTTAATACTTTGTGATTCTAATTTTTACGCTTCATTTCTTGAAGACTTCGAATTAGTTCATGGATATTGTTTTTCAGGTGAAGCACGAGGTATGGAATTAAAAATGATGTCAAATCTCCGACGACGTTTGTTGATTCAAATTCTGATAACATTGTTGCTAATTTCAACTGTTCACTTTTTCAGATTTCTGTATCGTATTTAAATATTTGGCGTAAAACTGACGTAAAAATTAAGTTACGTGTTGTAATTTGATATTACTTTGAAAATTTCTTGTAATTTGAAAGAATTATTAATATTTTTGAATTATTTATCTTTGAATGTTTTTAAAAAACTATATTTCATTATTCTATTGGTTGTATTCCAAAATGAAAGCATTTGTAATTTTATTAATTTTAATTATATCCCACATTTCATTTAACTAAACAAAGCCATTTTTTGCTGCTCATTATGCTTTCAAATTGATTCTTTCAATTCCTATTATTTAATTACTGATATGTAAAATATAAGTAATAAAATTATGCTATCTTTTCGAGATTTTTGCCTTTCTTACTTGCATATTTAACGCACTAAAATATAAGAGTTAAGGCATTTAAAAGTGAAAAACGTAAAAATTATAAATTTCAAAAAACATTTTCCCTCTTTGTGTTTAAATAATTGCTCTTTTGATATTCTTGATTATTATTTAAATATATCAAGTTTTTATATATTTTTTCGAATTCTCGTAATTTTTCAACCTGAATAACACAGTAGAGAATTTTTACGTAACACGAGAAAAAATTGAAATAATGAACTAATTGAAATTTGTTCAAATTCATTCTTTCAATTCGTATTATTTATTTATTGTTATGTAGAATATAGTTATATTTTCTTGAAAAATAGTAAATCTTAATTTTTTAGTTCGAATTTGTGATCAAATTTTTGAATAAATCAATTGTTGATTGATGTAAACGAACTTTGCATCAAAGCTCAGTAAGATAAAAAAAGCTTATTAATGAGAGACTTTTGAGCCAATTTTAATTTTATTTTAAATAAAACTTTTCAGAATTTTCAAAAATCATAAAATTTATAATTTCGATTCTAAAATTCATAATTTCGATTCTAAAATTTATAATTTCGGTCCTAGAATTTATAATTTTGTTTGTATAAATCAAATATTTTAATAAATTTTTAATTAAACAGTTTGTTATCAGCAAGTTGGCCAATATTCTAAATCATCGGCAATGATCAAAGTTTACAGGTTTATCTTCTCAGCTGGTGGTTTGTCAGTGATAAGAAATCTAGTTCGATCAGTAAACTGTTAATCACAGCGCATTCATTTCTATCACTTAAGCTTTTAAGCTGATAAAAACAGTAGTCGGTAAATGTATCAAGGATTTTTTGATCATTTTGGTCTTTTTTTTAAATAGAACAGTTACTATCTTTAGACAAAACAATAAACTAATTAGTTTATTTATTATTTTATAATTAGTATGCAAAAATGGTAGCATTGATTTGTACATAAATTAAATTTATTTATTTAATATTAATCCCACTTCTTTATATTCATTACAAACTAACTTTTATTTTTTATTACTTGCTTATTGACTTATCTCCACCAGTAATGAACAATTATTAATTTTTATACTAATACCTATTTTATATTTGCAGTTCCAAAGCAAATTAAAATATGTATAGAATTTAAAGAGATGTTATTTTTGTATTTCTTCCATAGAATTAAGCATAATTTTAGTTGCAATAAAAATAATATTAATAATTTATAAAGACTTTCCAAAATTCTTTGCTTTTTTTAATAAAAAGGAGTCTTTTTTTTAATTCGTACTCAGTAAATGGAATAAAATTTTTATCACACAACGTAAAAAATCATTTCAAACAATTATTCAAATAGTATTTATTTAAATTGTGCGTAATTGAAAAATAATTTGTGTTTGTTATTATTGTTGTAATATTTGTTCACAGGAAATATTACTATAACTAATAAATAATAAAAAATAACCTTATAATTAAGACAGTTTTAATTATCAATTAGTTTTGGTAATATTGTTTATCAACAATTTTTTGTGTTAATAGTTGAGATAATAAAGATTTATTACTTTGTAATTCCATCGCTGAACTAAGTAAAAAGACTGCAATTCTATTACTTTACTTAATAATTTTGTTAATTACTTAATAATTAGTATTTGATAATTAATAATTCAAGCATACTTTGTTATTTAAACAAACAAAATTAACCAAAAACCGCTTAAAAATGATTTAAAAGCCGAAAAATAGAATGTAAAAAAGAGTTATGCCCTTAAATGCTTTGAAATTTGACATTTTTTGAATTTTTACTTTACTGAAATTAACTAAAATTTGCATAAATGACAAAGAATTCTGATAATTTATAACAAATTCATTCTCACATTAGTTTAGCTAAATTATGCTTAATCTGATTATTTTGGTTATTTTTAAAATCCAAATCAGATTTCAAAAATTTTGTAACTTATTGTTGCATTTAATACTATATATAAGAATTTAGTACTTTTTTGGATATTTTTAAATGTTTAAATTGTACGCTTATTGAATTATAACTAAATAATCGTGATCACTTTAGTCAAAATTTAAATCTGAGTAGTTAATTTTTATTTTTTTATTCAGCTTAGTTTGTTTAATTATTATATAATACTTTCAAATGATACTTCGGTGAAAATGATAAAAACTCCATATAATATATCAGTTATATTTTTGGAGAATTCATACCAACTATTACCTAAATATTAAATTAGCCAAAGAAATAGAAATTACAAAAAAGTTTTACACAGTTAAACTTACTTTGGAAATAAAGTTTAGTTTTTTTTTTTATTTATTTAAAATGCAAAAAATCTATAAGTGCGCAATTCATATTAATTATTTGGGATCAAATATATCCTTGCTAATGTAATAATGAATTACATGATCATGTCATGAATTATACAAATATGTAATAAAGTAATCTAATTAATTCAATATATTACTGCTTGTTCAATAATGTAATTATATAATTTTAACTTTTCATTACCTGAATAATAAAACGAAGTTATTAAAATTATGATTTGCATAATGAGTAGGATCAAATTCAGCATGAAGACCGTAATATTATAATTATTTTCACGTAAAATAAAGAAACATTCAAATACACTTTATAAAAATATAATGGAGTTTTATTAATTATGAACTGATAAACTGGATTTGACCCTTTATAAAAATAGTCAGTTATAAACGAAAAAATGATCACTTTGCATCATAAAATCTTAATGAAATATTTTGCCTTGCTTGGAACAGAACGACTCACATAATTAATATCATAAATTACCCTTTGACCTTTAAAATTATGATTTGAATTTAATCACTTTCTGAAGTAAGCTGTCGGCTTCTTTCGCCAAGTATCATTAACATTCTATTATATTGGTGTGATCTATCTTGGATAATCGGTCTCAAACTTGATCTACCCTTGATCTTCTATATTTGCAAACAATTACCGCATTTCGTTAATTAACAGATTTTTATGCCGATCAAAAAGTTAATGAGTGAATGTAATCTAAGTAGAATTGAAATATAATAACTTTTAGGAAACTAAATACAGTAATAAACTTTGACCTAAAAAAATTTTTGGTTCAATTGGTGAATTTCCTTGCTACTAACTGCTAGAAGTGAAGCTTATGATGAATTTGAAGCAGTATAATGAAACTGATATGAAAATTGATTAGCAAATATTTCAGAAGCCCAAAAATAAAATACTACAAAATAGGAAATGGTATAAAAAATAGATTTATTGGTAAGTTACTCTCGGTGTTTATCCAAATTTATGCATTTCAATAATACGAACTACAGTACCAATAAGTTTAACTACGAGTATAAAACTTGTATATTAGTGAAAGTTTTGAATTTTTGATTTGTAAAAAAATTAATTAATTTTAGTTGTCGCTATGGGATTAATCCTTCAGTCAGCTTGAAATTACTTAAATGATAGCTCATATACGGTCGAATTTTGAACTCACTGAAAGCATTTTATTAAGAATACGCGGTAACATCGCTTTAGAATAGTTCAGAGGTCAATTGATTCGATATATTGTATTGTTCTAAAAACCAATCTAGACTAGATTTGATAGTTTTAAGACTTCTCCGAGCTTAATAATAGACAAATATGCGAAAGAAGTGAGTAGATGGAATAGATCAGTCCACAAGGACAGCAACTTTTCTATGACGGGACGATTTTGAAGTTGAAAGTCAGAAGAGGAGCAATTATTTTTAAGCTCGTACCATACACCTCATCTAATATTCACTTAAAATTTGTTGAGCGGACTATTACGTGACCTTACCTTATAAAGTAAAGTGCCCACTTATTAATAACGTACAATAATTAGATTGATGAGATGAAACAAAATTTTAAGAATTTATACTAGTAAGTAAACCAAACTAGTACTTAGCGTCAGTGAAAAAATAATTCAGTTCAAAATGCTTACCTTTTACGAGATGAACGTGTAAAAAGCAAACTTTTCATTCCAGAGTGAGCAGTTTGATTGCAACTAACTTACAAAATTTCAGACGTCAAAGTATACATTATTTATTGACGTATTTTCCTCGACGTTTACGTATTTTCCGTGTTGTACAACAATGCTGTCAAGTTTCGGTGAATCGAGTGCAAAGGAAACTGCGCGAGTGATTTCTATCGGAAATCAAATTTCAGTTTTCATTTCTTTTCCAGAAACTCAAAGAGTATTAACAAAATATCAACGCGTGACAACGCAAACAGCACGTGGTTTGTTGATTTTAGAAAAATTTGACAGAAAATAGAATTGAATGAATGTTTTTGATAACTTTACGACAAATTTATATTTAATTGAAGACGCACAATTGACTCCTCACGAAATCGCACG